GACTTTGTTATGTTGAGCTGGAACATCCCGCCCTACTTTGCTAAATAGTTATGTATCAGATAGATAGTATAGCTGTCGGGGAGGGGGGTGCATGACAAATTTTGCAAAACTATTAAAGTAAACAAGCATTGGAATAAGATACAGATCATGGACTGGATGGAAAATACATTGAGAAAAAGAGATGTTCTATAGTGTGGTAATACGTATGCATATATAAGTGTTGTCGTGTTAAGACATTTCAAACACAATTTCCAGACTGGAAAAATGTGCAATACTCAATATGATTGTTTATAAATGCTTTCAGAACAAAATACATTTTTTGGTATTTTTTTTTCATTCTTTTGAACAGACTTTCATCATTTGTTTTGGTGTCCTTGATGTTTGTGTCCATGCTCTTACGTTTGTAATCAATTTTTATGTTTTTATATTTATAAAAAACAAAAAATAATAGTATATTTTTTCTTCTAATTTAGTTTAACATCAATAAATCTTTATGCAATTCTGTTTAGCATCATATAAGTACATCACATCTACAGCCTCCGTTGTGGATTTATATCCCTATAAAAAAACATTTCCACATATTTTTTCCCAAGAACTGGGACATTTATGGACATGCATTCATATTTATTAATATTTATGGACATTGGTCAGTCTGCTCCCTATAGACCAATGGCTATAGGGTAATAATGTTTATTTATATCCCTGTGTGTGAGAACGATCGTTGGTTATTCTCATTATACCGGTTCCTGTATTGTTACTGTACAACACGAGAAACTAAAACTCACTTTGATTACTAATTAAAAACTGCGAGTGCATTGCGGTCAGAGAACAGAGGCGGCTGGGCACGTGTGGTTGCAGCGCAGGGGGCCAAAAATCACATGCTTTCTGGAAAACAGAAACCAAAGCCCGGAGACGAGAAGGAGAGAGGGGGAGGGGTCCCGGCTTTCTTAGAATCCGAAAAAGGCTTGCTTGGCCACGCCCCCACCTTCTCTGCTGCTGTTGTTGTGGCAGATGGTGGGCAGGCATTAGCATATTGTCAGTGAAGGGCCAGATAACCAGTGAGCAGTGCTTGGCGAGGCAGGTGCAGAAGCCTTCCACTCTCTCCCCCCTCCCCCCCCCCCCCCCCCTCTCTCCCCCACTCTTGACCATCTGCCTGCATGTATGTGGAGGTGGGCTTTAAGGAACAGGGGGAGGCTCTGTCTAGGTGTGTACATAAAATACAACAATGGGCTGAGAGAGAGCTTCAATAATTTAGGATTATTGAGGATTATTATGAGAAGTTAATTATGTTTGTCGTACAGGGCTGAACATTATAAGCAAACTATTATCAAATATTATTATTATTGTGATTAGATATTTTCAATATATCTAACAAAGATCTGAGTGAAAAAAAACAAAACAAAAACTGCTTTTACAAACATGTTTTAAATGTCCACTGAATAGAAGAATGTAATTATTTATTTTTTCCAGGCCTTTAAAAGTATTCAAAATAATACACTTATGTTTAGAATGTATATATATATATTAGAACTTACTGTCTTGGATTCTCCTTGGTATAATTTTTTTATGAGAACACTAGTTACGGTGTGCAGCAACCTGGCTTCTAACCCACAAATATTTTTATTTATTTATTAGTTTTTGATTGTAGTTCTCTGCCAATATCAGGGCTCCACCTTTTGTTTGTTTCACATCAAATTTGTGAAAAAACTAAAGGGTTGAATATGAATCTCTGTTTAAATTGCCATTCAGAATTCATTGTAATGTATTGATACCTTATTTGTGGAAAGATTAAGATTAAGACTAAGATTAAGCAATACATTACACATCCCACGGTGGGGAAATGTCAGTGTTGCATCACAAGTTACAGACAGTAGGAATGAGGAGCACACAATAAGCCACATGAATAATACTTAATTAAATTAAATCTGTAACTAGCATAAAGTTCAGCAGTAAAAGGAAAGGTGTCTCTTTAAAACAACCACAGAAACTATAATCACAACAGATGTGTTTGATAAATTGATTTTCTCTTTCTGCTTCCCCTTAAACATGACTGGATCAGAGGTCACAAAGCTGACATTGGGAGTCATGGCAGAAGCTGTGCACTCCAAAACAAACAACAGCCCCCTCTCTCCCTTTTCCACTCGAACGCTTCATGTCAAGCCCAAGCCCAAACAAAAACAGCTGTCATCCAACACAGTGTTTCCCAAACTGGGGGCACGTGGACTCCAGGGGGTACACGAGGGAATTACAGTGGGTACTTTAAAGGGATTGTCAAAACTTGCAACATTGAAAGTAAGAGGTTGAGTAGGTGAAGTTAATATGGGCTACTATGGCATGTGGTACTTCATTAGGTATGTTTCTCAAGTAAACATCAACATTTCTTATCTATAGCTACATATATCTATCTACTTATTATTAACACTGAACCCAGGATACAATTATGAAGAATAGTTAGTCAAGTAGAAAAGGATATAATAAGCCTTCCTCATTCTTTATCCAGGTTTGTTTTGGTGCATGCATACACATTTTCAAGGTTCAAAGTTCAACTTTATTGCCCCCTCAGGGAAATTTGTCTTAGGCTCACAGCGCTGTTGGACACAAACACACAAGACACACTCAACAACAGGACAACCAGCTCGTCTGCACAGTTACAACACAATAATACACCAAAATATTGCACAATCCCATAAGCGCAAGGATGCCAAATAATACACTAGTAAAAGACCACGCTAAAAAGGTCGTCAAAAATGGCTATAAAAAATTACCCGATGCTAAAGATTAGTTATAGATAAAACTATGAAATTATGAAACTAAAAAACATTCCATGAAGAAGTAGGAGACTTTGACCAGATAACAGTTGTCAGCTTCAGCATTAGGACCCCACAATGCCAGAAGACATATCATAGGCTCATTAATATATATTTAGTACATAATTACTACCACATGACAGAGGACTACTACAATCAAAAACAGTAATAAAAATATTTTAAAAATTGCATTGACCAGACTTGTGCATGGTCTATGTTGAACGAGGGGTGCACGAGGCCACAGAGGTTGGGAACCACTGGTCTCACTCACTCACTTGTCTTTGTTATGTCACAAACAAACACCCAGCTAAGCGGATGTGCAGCTCAATTTGCATGTTACCGATGAAGAAGGTAAAGTTCATTCTCTGTGCTCCCATTCACTTTGTTTGTTTTTCTCATGGCCGCATGAGTCATCGGTGCTTCGTCACCACCTAAACAACTATTTACAGAGACATATGTAAATTCTTCACATGTTTACAATCTCTGGCCCTTTCAAAAATAGTGTTGTGATGTTATATTTTCTTGTCTGACTTCATTGTTCAGTCCTAGTTCTATAGTTGTTATGGGGAAAACCTGTCCAACAGTCTATTGTTTTGAACCCTCCCCCTCATTCTTTATCTTGGTCAGACTTGTCCAACCACGCTTGGCAGTTTGCATATTATTTTTCAAAAACATAAAAAGGGGAATCTGTGACAAAGGGCAGAAAGGGAACAAATGTTTTGGAGTCAAATGCGATGACATGACACTACACACCTCCACGACACAATGAGCTTGTATTACCTACTGTATACACACAGGTGGAACTTGGAAAATGAGTTTAAAATGGGTTAAAAGTTCATTTCTTTTTGTAATTCCACTTAAAGATCTATTACATGCAAAGTAAGAAGTGCCAAATCTGTCTTTGTTATGATTTGGATGGATTATGATACATTATTTCTAATTTTCTGTTTTAAAAGTCTGTGAGCCATAAATATCAATCTTTATAACAAATATACTGTATCTTACTGTATAAAGATTAAGTAAAAGTTGAAATACTGAAGTGAAAAGACTTTTGAACAGTATTCTACATCTTCAAGTTTCACCTGTATATATTTTATTTGCCCTTTACTAGTCTACCATCAATAGTGGTTGAACCAGAGGAGAAAAAAAAAATCATGTATCTGCCTTTAATGCAAAAATGTTACCCACGCCACCCAAACAAGTGAGCATTCATGTTTCCCAACGGCCTTTGCAATCTGCATACCTGCCCTGGAAGCCAGTTTCTCACAATTGGTACGCAACTACTGACTCACTTGTTTTTCTGCTAAATTCTATCACGTTTGCTGCAACGCCTGTTTCACAAGACAGTCCCACAAGACAAGACTCATTCAACAATTCAAAGACACACAACCCTATTTCACACAGACCTCTCTCTCTCTCTCTCTCTCTCTCACTAGTAACTTGCAACATGCTCTTTGCTCATCTCTCCTTCTCTTGCCAGCAAATGAGATAAAAGGTAATATATTCCCAGCTATATGGCGCTTGATAAAACATTTATATCAAATAAGGCTCCTATCCACGTCGCCTCATGCGTCATTGCGCTGGAATCAGAGGGTTTTGAAACACTGACGTTGTAGTGAAAGTGCGTCACGAAGGGGCACTGGAGCAGACCATTCATACAAATAAGCAGCAGCGATATCAAGCTAGACTCAACAAAACAAGACAACCGCCCCATGTTTCAAAATAAGAGTTATCCAAAAGCTCTTATGACATGACAGCGGCTGTGTGCTGAAGATAAATAAAAGACTTCCTTGAATGTCATTAGCAATAGTAAACATATCCTCTTAGCCTAGAGATTTGTGTGTAAGGGGTGTGACTGTGAGTGACTAATCCTATCTAAACATCACAGCCTACACCCTCGCTGGAGCATAGCGAGTCCACTTCCCCAGTGTGTTTTATAGATTGTAAATACTTAATTTAATCACTCCAATAACAGGCTGTGTCACTGTGACATAGGCGTGACACGTGTGCACAGTAGTAGTACTTAAATGCATGTATTAATCATTACTGGAGTGAAAAGAAAAGATATGTATATCATCACTATGCCTAATCTCTGTGTGTGTTGAGTAGCATAAAAGCTCTGAGTAGTGAGTGAGGCCTTGACCCCACGCCTTTTTATGAATTAATTCTCAGAGTTGTAAAGAAAATGCTCACCTTTCACAGCAGTGGCGGTTTCCTTGAATCCCATGCTGGCATACGGACTCGTGTTGAAACCATTCATCCCTCCTTTGCAGCCACATGGAGCCTTGAACCGTAGAAGTCCATCACATGCCCCAAGATTTCCCTCCATTAAGTTTAAGGCAATATAGTTTAGTCCGTTTTGAAAGCCGGCAGAGGTCTCCCTACACATGGGGCTGCCGTATTCCATGTCCGGTCCATCTGACGCATTAACGCTGTGTGATACATTCTCAACAGAAGCAGAGCTGTGCCTCTTTGTGTCATGTGCAAAGGAAGGGCACACAGGGGCTACAGTGGTGGTGGAGGCGAAGGTCTCAGAGCTGTGTCTCCTACGGCCTTGAGGGTCTGCCCTGACCACTTTGGCCCCTCTGTGTGGGTCTAAAAGGTTGACAGATAATGATGGAGCGCCTGAGAGGAAAGAGGCGGCTGGAGCTTGGGATACCTCCTCCACCAGAGTACAGTCCAGGCTGAGTCTCTGGACACATGTGGTGGGGCTGGTGGGGAGGGCAGGGTTGGGGGCCGGGGGGAAAGTCATCTCTGTGTAATCATCCCTGACTGGAGCGGCTTGACACCCCACCTGTGCTTCGAGCTCCACATTCAGGTCCTTCTCTTGTTTGAGCTCCTGCTGAGGAGGGAGGGAGAGTGGCTGGGGTTTTGGGGAGATGTTGTCACCGCCAGAGGATGGGGAAGCCACAGACTCAGATGTGGACGTGCTGAAGTCGATGTTGATGTACTCCCCAGGGCTGCGGGGCTCTGAGGGCAGGGGGTGCTCGCTCATACAGGGTAAAGTTCTGAGAGACTCCAGCGCCAGACGTGTGGGCCGACACGCCCTGTTCCTATGGCTCAGCCCCCCCTCCACCAGAGCTACTCGGAAAGGGGTACAGGACGCTGTGCTTGGAGGGGGACTGTTCAATGGCTCTTCCACAGAAGCAGCACAGGGGTTGGCCTCCTCCTCTATCCTCTGCTTCTGTATGGACATGAGCACATATTGGTCTGTGTCTGTGGAGCCTTTTCTCTGCAGTAGACTCTTGAGTGCGTGGGGCAGAGAGCTGTGTGAGAAGGCCTGTCGAGGGTAGGGCTCTGTGGGGCTGACTATGTAATCTGGGGGGGTAAAGGAAGGATCCACCGGGGACATGTTAAGATAATCTCCATTTGAAAGCTTCCCTTCTGTGTAGTCCACAGACATACGAGTTCCACACCACATGGGCATGTAGCCACTGTCCTCCAGTGAGACACTCCCAGGAGAGTCTGTGCGTGCGGCCAGCACAGTGGAAGAGTGGGAGCGTGGGTTTATGATCTGTTTTGGGGCTGAAATACACATGGGGCTCATGGGCATGTACGAGTCCTCCCTGGACCTGAGTGTCTGTGGTGCCACACCTGGCATCATGGGCATGTAGCCGGTTTCATTTGAGATGCTGTCAGAGCTCACTTGCACTGGCCTGTAGTCCTCTGGATACGTCCCTTTGGGAGAGGCGGTGTGACACCTGCGAGGACCCTGGCTCCCGCTGGTGTTTGTGGCCCTCATTAGAGTGTACTCGTCCAGTGAGGCGGAGGACACTTGTGGGGGACCCCTCATCTGACGAGGGGTTGTGAGAGAATAAGTGCGTTTGCGGTAACTTTTGTCAAGTTCTGGGCCCCGTCTGTAGCCATTCTGGCCCTGTCGCTCCATGACCATGTATCCATCCAGCTCACTGCCATCCCGGGATGGGGGCGTGTCCGCTCTGATAGACTCAGGGGTGTTGCTGCGGACGGAGAGGGGTAACCGGATGTCCCTCATGTCTGCAGGACTACAGCCATATTCCTCACAGGAGATGAAGCCAGCGTCACTGGGGGAGCCTGAGAAAGAGGCGGTGCAGCTGGAGGGGCGAGGCGCGCTGCTGTCAGGACAGGATGACAGGCTCACGAGGCTGGGGGCACCCAAGGGTGGGGAGTGGGACAATGGCATTGACATAGATTTACTGTGCTGGAGGGAAGACGACTCAAATGTCCGTGTGGGCCGTGTTGTGATCGTGTGAGACCTGCTCAATAGCGTCCGGTGCACCCCGGGGCTAAGGGGGCTCCCCGTCACGGATAAGGGGCGTGTCATGCTGCCGTCGCCCTCACTGGCTGTGCGTATTCTGCATGAGGAGAATTTGCTCACCGGTGAAGTAGCGGCCATGCTGTCAGTGCGTGACCGCCGGGGAAGCCCTGTCTGGCTGGGAGGGAGATTGTTCAGGTGCCGCCTTGTGGGCACAGAGATGGGCTTGGTCCCGGATGACTGGCTTTTGCTGCGCGGACGGAATTCTGACAGCTCCTTCATGGCTTTCATTGCTTCTAGAATAGTTTCATGGATGTTCTGCGCTACCACAGAGTCATCTGCCTGCATCCACAGCTCCCCAGGACCCGTGGCCGCAGAGCGACCCACCTCAATGAAGAAAAAGCTGTCAGAATGGCCGCACCTCCGAATATTCATTAGCTGGAGAATGACAGAGGCGACCTCCGAGTTGAGCTTGACAAAGCTAATAGTCCGACTGGACAAACACAGTCTGTAAACCCCTGTCAGATTTCTGCTCTGGCCCAAGCCTTTAGATTTTAAGTTGACTTGCCATACCTCCTTATAGGCTGCAGACACCGGCGTTATGACGCCGTAGCTCGCCTCATCAAAGCCCACCAGAGAGGACGCAGAGTTGGACGCGGAGCCGTCGCACACTTTTCCCTCTGACATTAGATCCGTCAGGACCTCGTACCAGCTCTCCTGCTCCTGCTCGTTGTCCGCGGCCACTGCGAAGTATTCATCCTTCGTGTACAGCGCGATGAGGAACTTGTGCTTAGCGTCCGCTCTCTTGTTGATATTCAGGCAGCAGTCCAGCGGGATCACTCTCTTTGCGCTCGACTTGTTTTTCCATTTCTTCTCGCTCTCGTAGTACTCCAGCCGCGCAGGGCAGCCGTCGCACTGCTCCTTCAGCACGAAGAAGCGTCTGTGTCCGTGCTTCTGCTTCTTCAGATAGCCGCTCTTCTTCACCTTGGCGCTGGGAGCACTGGGAGATATGGGCTGCTCTTCTGTGTTTGGCGGACTCGCCATTCTCCAGTATTTCACGGGAAAAAACGATCTTGTTGCTTTATCCTTCTCTAAGAGAGCCGGTGATGCGTCTGTCCGGCTTCCCAGCTGAGCAATAAATAACACATGTCTACTCGAATCAAGAGGGGAACAACATGTGACGATCTACACATCCAGCTCTTGTGTAGACGAAAAAAAGAAAAGGAGCAGAAAAAATACTCACGGTGCCGACAGTGGGCGGTGCGCGCTCAGCTCATTGGGCTCATTGGTGGAAACGGGAGGAGAGGAGAAGCAGCTCAGAGAGGGAACCCTCCTACTATCACTGCCCTCTTCCGACTCGTTTGTGCGTAGTCAGGACGCCAAATTTATTTATAGTAGGCACCCACTATAGATTTGGCTACGGCATGTTACATATAGGAGAGATTAACATAAACCATGAAGTTACAGAATATATATGAGACCATTACACATACAGATCATAACAATACGGTTGTATTGTCGGGTGTTTCGCTTTCATGAGCAGATAGATACGGACATGCTGCGTGCATGTCCTCATGCACCTGAATGCACCTGCTGCAGGATTGTACGAGGCTCAAAGACTTATAAACCTATACTTTACATCTGAGCCACATATTCTATCATTCTGGCCCAATCGTGTTTTTATTCTTAAAGCTGTCGTATGGTTTCTGCTTTAAGGTAAAGACAATAACGTGTTATCCTGGAATTAGTGACATGTTTTGTTTCTACTTCTACGCCGTGTCTATAAGGTGCGTGATGACGCATGTGATGTTGGTGATGATGTGGACTTTGCCTCATCACTTCCGCTGAAGTGCCACTCGTTCAGTTTATAAGAACAGAGATGAAGAAAGCAAAAAAATAAAATAATTATTATTCCTGCAAGCCTCAAAATGGAAAGATATTTAAAGGAACTCAGTTTTTAATCTATTTCTTTTTACTTTAATCTCTGTGTTAAGTTGAACTTTAATGTATGAACATTCTTCTTGATTGAATTGAAAAGTGTGTGTTAAAGAGTAGGAATGTTTTATTTTAGGTGCTACGTTTTAAATCAAACGAATGGATAACTAGTACATTTCACGCATATGCCTCTCTACAACATTACCACTACTCTGAAGATGAAGAGCCCCTTCCTGCTGGCTCAGCACCCCAAACTACCCTGTCCTCCCAAGCAAGGTCAATTACTAATGCCCTCACCAAATCAATTATGCCTCCATAAGCAATGATTTGACTTCACATAAGCTACAACGGGTTAAATCAGGCAACAACTCATTATGAAGTGTCCCTCAAATCACCTCTGAGATATAGATTGAGTTCAGTGGGTCTCTGTGGGTGTGCGTGTTTCCTTTGGAAGTTAAATAGAAGTGGCAGACCGAGATGCCAGTTTACAAGGCTCCGATGTCCTCCCAAAGGATGTGAATGCTTCCTTGTTTGTTGGTATTGGGTTTCTGAGGAGGAAGTGGAGTGCATTGAGACTGGATTGTTTTCATGTAAAAATACCCACATCTTATCTAAAAGACTGGACCTGGTGATGGTATCTCTTTCTTTCCAACTGGGGCAGTGTGAGCAGGAAACGGATGGGCCCAAGCAAAGACACATGAAATCTTCTATTTGATACTAATTATAGGTATTTTGACACTACTTTTATTTGACATGAGTTTCATTATCATTTTCTGGTTGATTTTTCTTTTATTGTTTGGAATTCACCAAAACTGGACCAAAGATGATGTGCTTTGGAATAATTATTTGATTGTTTTCCTGAGAAAATAAATGTAAAACATTCCTTGGTAAACCATCAATTACCACCAATGCTGCAAGATAATAATAATAGAAAATTATTTTAGGGGCAACTGAAACATTTCTTGCGGACCGGATTTGGCCCACGAGCCTGAGTTTGATATTCTAAAGCATAAACAATGTCACTGATCCCATTATCAATTATTCCTTTTGTAGTTACCAAGCGCTGAGAATAGAACTGTTTTTTTCTGGGCATGTAGCGGTATAGATCCATGCTTTCAATCTCACGTTGTCCGACGTAATTGACTCGATTTACAATCAATATGGCAAATGTGAAATTGAAAATTCTCTTCAGGTTAATTTTTTTGCTGATTGATCGGGGGGTGTGCGGAGCTGCAGGGAGGAATGATGTCACGCAGCGATTAGATCCTTATGTTACTGGACATAGGGAACATGGAGACAGCAAAGTTAGAATAGATGAGGACAAAAAAAACAGAAAATTGGACACAAGACACATTCAAACTGTCAAACTGTGACTGTTGCCCTTTGTAACTCTCAGTGGGCTGGGCCGCGGGCTATCTCAGGTCACTTGAGAAATTTCCATTTGGTTCCACATGTCAGAAGAACAAACATTCATTTAAATATGTGGCGATTCTTGCGTCAACAGGGAGAAAGGAAAGCTAATAGTCCGTTCTTTAAATGTTCTTTTTTTAATGAGATTTTTGGTTTTTTTTTTTTAACTTTGAGCCAATTCTTAACATTGCAACGGTTTGTATAACTCACTTTTGACTTATTTCACTTGCCTGTCATAATTTTGTTTCATATTGAAAGTTGAATTACAGAAGTGAATGGATTCTTTACACAATATCCTAACTCTCAAAATTTTACTTGTACTTTTCTACTGCTAATTTATTTAGAATCTTTAAATTTACAATGGGAGTAATATAAGAATAGCCATTTTCAGATGTAAATTAGACATTTGTATTATTATTTCATGGGTCAGTGGGACTTATCATTAATTAAAGCTCTCATTTGAATAAATAGAACGTATATCATACCTTTGCAGTCGCAGCGTGCTCATCTGACCAGGAAATGATGGTGATGAAATGTTTTTGTCGACACAGACATGCAAAGACAACATATTTATTCATGAGCTCGCCCTCCCCCCAAACATATGAGTTGATATGTACCATAGGCCGCCGTCACAAATTTAGGCTCTTACTGATTTCAAAGATATGACTGCGTAGAATATTTAACTTTAATGCCATCATCCGTCATTTGTCATAATTACATCTCACTGATGGATTCGCCACCGCTCCAAAGAAACACAACCTGCATCTCTGCCATACATTAATTTATTGCGGCTTATCTGCACTTTAATGGGGAGGGTTTCATAAGCTGGTCTCATTTCAGGTGCATGCAGCGAGATAATGTTCAAATTCAAGGTGCTTCGTGATCTGTTTACGATTTCTTTCTGTTATCTCTGCTTGAGTATTTATTTAACATATTTCAAGTCACATGGAAATAAGGAAATACTTTTTTTGCATATCATAATTTCAATCTTAAAGTATTGAGTTGTGCTATAATAATAGGCAAGGCAAGGCAAGGGTTAGCAAGTTTATTTGTATAGCACAATTCATACACAAGGCAGCTCAAAGTGCTGAACAAAATAAGAAACATTAAAATCATAAATAATCACAGCACATTAAAAAGAAACATAAAAACATAAAATCCCTCAGTTGTATGCACAGATAAACAGGACTGTTTTTAACCTGGTTTTAAACATTGTCAGAGAGGAGGCCTGTCTCACATCATCAGGAAGATTGTTCCAGATTTTAGCAGCATGAATCTGAAAAGCAGCCTCCCCATGTTTAGTTCCCACTAATAATAGTAGTGTTTTTTTTGGACACTCAAAGACGCTTCACATGTCCTTATTCATTCACTCCATACACGGTGGTGATAAACTACTACTATAGCCACACCTGCCCTGGGCCATATTGACAGAAGTGAGGCAAGCAGTACATGACATCAGCCCCTTCGACCACCACCAACCATTCACACACACACACCAGATTAATTCTAGGCAATGTGGGTGTGTCTTGCCTGCTTTACAGCCGCAACCACCCCACTGTGGCACCTGGTGTTCCCAGAGGTCTCCCATCACAGTATTAACCAGGACCTGCGCTGCTTAACTTTAGAGATTTGACTGGATTTGGCTTATTTCTTGTGTGTATGTCCTCTGCATTCTTGCTGTTCTATAACTTGGGACTCAACACTGAAATTTCCCAACTGTGGGACGAATAAAGCATCTCTTAATCTTAGTCTCGATCTTAATACAACTCATGAAAATTGCACAAAAAATTAAATGAAGTCAATTATCTCATAAATCAATACAGCATAAAGTTTTTCACTTTCGGTCATGTTACAACCTCAAACATGACGATTTTATTTTATGAGGTCCTGGTCCAATGTAGTCCAGGTATATGAGGCTGCATCATTCATGGCTGTGTTTTGCCGAGCGGATAAAGGCGACAAAAAACCAGTGATTGGAGTGAAAGTGTGTGAGTAATGCTTCTGTTTCGCCTCAGATGACCCAACAGTGTGACTTTGAGTGTGCTGCATAAATCAGATCCGGGAATAAGTCTTTGTTGATGCAATGTGACCAGCCATGGCAGTCGAGCCGAAAATGTAATTCGTTACACTTTTTAATGACAGTAGAAAATGATACTTTTTGTATTACTGCTGTTATTACCGTCATTGTTTTTATCGTGCGTGGTGTTTTTCTGACTGCAGGAGTAACTCGGGTTTTTCCAAACGCTCTGTGCTAACGTTGTTAGCTTGCTTAAACTATGTGAGATACATAACTAAGAATTAAAATAATACATACATACATACATACATACACACATACATACTGTACATACACACATGCATACATACATGCATACACACATACATACTGTACATACACACATGCATACATTCATACATACATACAAACATACTGTACATACACACATACATACTGTACATACACACATGCATACATACATACATACATACATACATACATACATACATACATACATACATACATACATACATACATGCATACATACTGTACATACATACATACATACATACATACATGCATACATACTGTACATACACACATGCATACATTCATACATACATACAAACATACTGTACATACACACATACATACTGTACATACACACATGCATACATACATACATACATACTGTACATAC